ATCTGCAATTGCCTGGCTGTCTCACGAGCAAGAAGAAGATACCTCGGTGCCCCAGAACTGGCATCACTAGGAGACGCCTTCAGCAGGAAACCAGGCGAACTTCTTGCCTTTGCCAAAACACCTCGATCCTTGTGGACATAAAAACCCCTTAACTCATCTCAACGTTCATACAAATCAACTGGACAACTAAGGGCCATATTGGCTTGTGCGTGGGCCCGTGAGGAACGTCCGGGTTAACCTAGCCTAACCTTACGTTCTAGTTCTGAGTCTCTAAAGGGGCTTGGGAGTTTTCCGAGTTACTTTGAGCAACTCTGACATTATGATTTTGACTCTGTTCGACTTATGATTTTGCCCTCTGTTCGAGTTGCTGTAACCTCTATAGCTTCCTTTATATTGACCTCTATTATTGTTATAGTAACCACGGTTACTATTATCACTGTGGACGGTAGTACACGTGGTATTAAGCGATATAAAGTGCAACTCGTTTCAGCTCCGTATACGAAATATTTCATACTTATTGGAATAAACAAGAAAAAAACCAATTTGATGAAAAATATTCTTATTAGATTTTTCCAAACGGAAAATCTGTTATGGTTTTAGGGTCCTTTACATGCATAAAGCTAATCGAAACAGGAAACTTGATCTATTTGTTCTACCACTTTGGAAAAACCCGCTAATTCAGCGAACAATGTAAGAAACGACAGATTTCTCTTGGAATCTGAAACTATACATCCATTGAGATTCCAAACTTGTGCTATTAAAATAGGTAATTTAAGAGATAAAACTTGTTATTAAAAAGTTTAACATTCATATTAGATGTTTTATACTTATTAAAATGTGAATGTAAACAACCCATACCTTATTGGAATAAAGTTAAGCCGAAGTGGAACGTGAAAATTTATTATAGTCTTTACACATTTTTTAGAATTATGTTTTTATTTCCTAAAAACTTTTCTTACAATTCATAGAACATTTTAGTAGCTAAGTAACAATTACATAATGAACATTGTACATATATTCATAGATTACTTTTGTAGGTATTGGGAAATATTACCCATTGAAACTAAGTGTTGACATAATGTGTCCTAGGATAAAAAAAAATTTTTGAGGAAAATTAAGGAACCATTCCAGAAATAAGCAAATACTTCTCCAATGATTACTTTGTACTTTCAGAACATCCGTCAAATATTATGGATTTATTATGTACATATGTAAATATATTACTTTTGCAGGTATTGGGACATATAACTCACTGAAAATGAGTATTGAGATTGTATGTCCTAGGATAAACGAACGATTTCACGAATATATGCAAGTACTTTCTCTATAATTATGTTGTATTTAGAAAACATCCGCCCGTAAATGTTATGGTGTTATTGTTAAATCCAAAAATTATGCATAACTAAAGGAGAAATATAACTTTTTAAAGAGGCGTATTATTCGGAAACAATTAATATTAAGAACATTTAAATAGTATTTTATAAATACTCTTATTATTGAGATAATGAAGTCATTGTGGCCATTTCTACCATTTCCATAATTTGTCCTGCTAATATAAATATGAGTCGTTCTTTTACAAACCGAACGGATTTGGCAAAAAATTACATTTTACATGCCTAAAACATTTTTTAAGTATACTTTTCGTTAAAAAAAAGTAAACTTAAAAAAGGTGTTTGGTTTATGAAAGAACGACCCATATATATAGTCGCAAAATTGAAAATATGGTATGGTAAATATAGTTATTATTATTTGCTGATCAAAATAACGGAGTGTCGAATACGCAATGGGGCGTCTATTTTTATTTAAATTATATGAGAACGCTTATTTTAGAAAAATATGATATTTTAGATATCTTAACGCAATTTAGTGTAACCATACTAATACGCTGTATATGTATATGAATACCCTTTATATAATATTATCGATGAGTTCATCGAAAATTTTCCTAGTCAACGCATGGTTCAATTGCTTCAATGTTTGTCGACGGTCGAACATTGTAATCGATAGGTAGACTAAGTATTGTAAGAGAAATCTAGTATTTGTTAATTTATCCGATCTCGTATGGATTTCTTGGCCCTTGAAGTGCGGGCCTACTAATATCGGTTTAATGGATGCCGCCATAAATTGTGCTTTTCATTGTCTTGTGAATCGTAGGAGGGCACACTGCGGTAAGATTAAGTTAGTTTGAAATGTATGAGGCTGATCTGAATTGTTAACAGAATAAAACGATCGCCCCGAGCGACTGCCACGAGCGCCACCAGGCGCACGCCGCCCTTAAAGTTCACCCTCTCTTCGGACCTACGCGTGTGGGGTAGTCGTTAACAAGGCAACTCCATATGATGCAAGACAACTCCTTTTATTCGCAGTCCTAGGGAGACTGTGAGGGCAACTTGCGCTGGAGGACGGCTTGACGACCAGCTAGAGAGTTGCCAGGAGCAATTCCCGTACCAGTAGAGGAGTCGCAGGCAGCGACATAGACGGGCGCAGACAGCGCCGAACACTGGGTACGGACGGAGTCGCAGTCAGCGACAGGGAGACGCAGGCCGCGTCAGTTAAGGAGACCGCAGACAGCGGTCAGGAGGCGCAAGGAGCGCCAAGCACGGGGTCCGCAGACAGCGGGCCAGAAGACGCAAGGAGCGTCAAGCATCGCCTGCCGCAGCCAGCGGCCAGAAGGCACAGGTGCCGCCATTTTGGAGAGCGCTGAGGCAGCGCCGTATTTGGACCTGTTAGGATGCAGCATTCCCCGAAGAGGAGCTCCCGGCTGAGAGGAGGGGAAGCCACCCCTACAGCAACGCGAGCGGATCAGCAGCCAGTGAGTAGTGGAGCAGAAAACCGGCCGCGAGTGAACATAACCTCGGCGGCGGCCATTTCTAGCCCAGCCACTACGGTGACTACAGTAGCGTCCCAACCGAGGAGTACTGCTGTCACAGCTGCGGGATCAGAGCCAGAGCGGGAGACGAACCAGTCCCTCACGTCGGACCTTTTGAAAAGGATTGCGGCGTTGGAGGAGGAGCTAAAGCAGGTTAAAGCCCTGAACAGTGTGAGCACCGCCAATTGCGCGCCAATCGCAGTTGGCCCAAGCGCAGATGGCGCCATCAGTGGAGCGTCGGGGCGGCCGCCATCTTGGAGCGGACCGCCATTAGCCATATCTAACGGTGAGGCCTCAACTAACGGGGTCGGGCCGGTCCCACATAGCGGTGTCGGTGCGAGCAGTGCGGCCTGCACGCTGCCGCCATCTTGGAGTGGACCGCCATTGCTAACGACTAGCAATCATTTTGTGGAGCCACTGTGTGCTACAAGTGTTGCGCAGACAGCGCATGGATTCGTGCTACCGGGCGGGAGCACCCACAACGTGGCAACAGCATCGCCATTTGTTGGGTCCTACGCCCCGATAACGCCGAATGAATCCCAAAGAGTGTACGGGCCAAGGAAGCTTCCGGACCTGCCTGTATTTGGAGGGCAGCCCGAGGAGTGGCCGATCTTTAACTGTGCGTTTGTGGAGACGACCCAAGCATACAACTGCACAGACTTGGAGAACAACCAGAGGTTGTTGAAGGCGCTGAAGGATGAAGCACGCGAGACAGTGAAGTCGCTGCTGATTCACCCTGGGAACGTCAGCGCCGTGATGGAGCAGCTGCGCTTTAGGTTCGGCCGACCGGAGCAGCTTATACGCAGCCAGCTGAACAGCGTGCGAGAGGTGCCGCCGATTTCGGAGCAGCACCTGGCGAGGATCGTTCCCTTCGCAACCCGAGTGAGTAACCTCACGGCCTTCTTGCAGTCAGCGAAGGCGGAGCAGCACCTGCGGAACCCAACGCTAATGGAGGAGCTTGTGGCAAAGCTTCCTACGAGCAAGCGAGTAGACTGGGCCAGGCACGCTGCATCGATCGAGCCCTTTCCCACTGTGGCGCACTTCAGCGTGTGGCTGCAGGAGTACGCAAACGTCGTGTGTACGGTTTTGGACGTCGAGGGAAAGGAGCCGAGGCGTCGAGTTCTACATGCGAGCGTCGACCAGAACGGATGCGATCAACAGGATGATCGGCATGGAGGTTGTCCAATTTGTGGAGGGCAACATGCTGCGACGAGCTGCAGGGAGTTCATTGGAGCTTCGCCACCGGGTAGGTGGAGCATGGTGAGGAGGCATCGGCTCTGCTTCACATGCTTACGGAGTGGACATACGACCAGAACCTGCGATGTACATGGCGAGTGCCAGATCAACGGATGCCGCAGATTGCATCACCGTCTGCTACATGGCGCGGACGAGGAGCGAAGATGGCCGGCGCAGCGAGGTGGCTTCAGGAGCCACAACGGAGGAAACCAGCAGTCAGCAGTTTCCAGACGCGGCCCGGACAGGAGGTCTTCGCCACGAGGTGGTTACAGGGACCACGAGGGGAGCCTACAGTCGGCTGTCCCCAGAAACAGCCTGGAGATAAGGGCCCCGCAGCCAGCGGAGGCGCCCGTGCAGAGGAACTTAAACTGCGTTGACGCCGAAAGAGGCCGACTTTTGTTCCGTATACTGCCAGTAACGTTGTACGGAGCTGGTCGCCAGGTGGATACATACGCGCTCTTGGATGAAGGATCCTCCGTCACGATGATCGATGACGAGCTACGGAGGAATCTGGGAGTGCGAGGCGTACATCGACAGCTGAATATACAATGGTTTGGAGGAAGGGCCAGCAGAGAGCCCAGCAACGTGGTGAGCCTAGAGATAAGTGGAGCTGGGAAGTCCACTCGCCACGCTTTAAGGAACGTTTACTCCGTTTCGAGCCTGAGTCTGCCAATGCAGACGTTAGGTCGACGAGATGTCCAGGGCGTGCATAAGGATGCGCGTCTGCCGATGAAGCCCTACATCAACGTGGTGCCTAAGTTGCTCATCGGACTGGACCATGGACATTTGGGATTGCCACTTAGGACGAGGCGGTTTGCCAGAGAGGGACCGTATGCGGCCGCAACCGAGCTTGGATGGGTTGTGTTTGGGCCAGTAAGTGGGCAATCGACTACGCCGTCACCGAAGTCCTGCCTTCTTCGAGATGGAAAGCTTTGGTGTGAAGCTCGCGCTACAGGTCGCAGGCAGCGATGACGCGCGGGCACAAAGGATCCTCGAAGATACCACGGTGAAAGTGGGGCGTCGCTACCAGACGGGATTACTCTGGAAGGACGACTACGCTGTGCTGCCACGGAGCTATGAGATGGCGCACAGACGGCTGATCAATGTGGAGAAGAAGTTGAAGCGCAACGGGCAGTTGGCGCTGGAATACGATCGTATCATCAAGGATTACGTATCCAAAGGATATGCGAGGAAGCTGCAGCAGGATGAGGTCGCGGTGACGAGCGACCGGCTATGGTATTTGCCACATTTTGGTGTCGAAAACCCGAACAAGCCCGGTAAGGTCCGGCTTGTGTTCGATGCTGCAGCCAAGGTTGGAGGAACCTCGCTAAATTCGGCGCTGGACAAGGGGCCTCAGCATTACAAGCCCTTGCCAGCCGTGCTCTTCCACTTCAGGGAAGGAGCAGTCGGAGTCTGCGGTGACATCAAGGAGATGTTCCACCAAGTGCTGATCCGACCCGAGGATCGATGTTCCCAACGATTCCTTTGGAGGGATGGCAACGACGATCGAGACCCGGATGTGTACGAGATGAACGTAATGACCTTTGGAGCAGCCTGCTCGCCGAGCGCTGCGCATTACGTAAAGACGGTGAATGCCCTGAAGTTTCGGGATTCGGACCCGAGGGCAGTCAAGGCCATCATCGACTACCACTACGTCGACGACTATGTGGACAGTTTCGCTACAGAGAGCGAAGCTATAAGTGTATCTACCCGAGTGAAGGAGATACATGCGGAGGCTGGATTCGAGTTATGCCAGTTTTCATCCAGCTCACCCATCGTGGAAGCGGCGTTGGGACCACCCGGACAAGTCAAGTGCGTCGGATGGGGTGAGGCTGAGCAGAAGATCTTTGGAATGCGCTGGCAGGTAGCCACGGACGACTTCAGATTCAACGTGGAGTATCACCGAGTGCCAAGTAGCGTTCTAAGTGGAGATCGAGTCCCTACAAAGAGGGAGTATTTGAGCCTGCTGATGTCAACGTTCGACCCATTGGGATTCCTGTGCTGCCTGATGATTACAGCGAAGCTGTTGTTGAGAGAGATCTGGAGGCAGAAGATCCAGTGGGACGAACCACTACCGGAGGAGATAGGCAGAGCCTTTGCGACCTGGCGCAGGGAGATGGACGCCGTGGGACAGTTCCGATGCCCTCGTCACTATTTCGGGCATGGAGCAGTCCGGACCGTCGAGTTGCACGTGTTCGTGGATGCAAGTCAATCTGCATTCGCGGCGGTGGCCTATTGGAGGGTCACGTACGAGGATGACAACGTGATGGTTAGCTTCGTGTGCGCAAAGACGAAGTGCGCGCCGATGAGAACGATGTCGATCCCAAGGTTGGAGCTGCAGGCAGCGGTTCTTGGAACCAGACTGATGAACACTGTCCAGGAGGAGCACAGTGTGGACATCAGCGAGACGGTGTTGTGGACGGACTCAAAGACGGTGCTGAGATGGATCGGCAGCACCCACCGCCGGTACAAGCAGTTTGTTGGCAACCGAGTGGCGGAGATTTTGGAGTCGTCGAAGGTTTCCCAGTGGAGGTGGGTACCTACAGCCCACAACGCAGCGGATGATGCGACGCGGTCGCAGAATAAGGCGGACCTTAGCCCGGAATCACGTTGGCTAAGTGGACCCGCATTTTTGAGGCAGCCAGCGAGCGGCTGGCCGGCGCCTGAGGAGGGAACTAAGCGTGTTCCAGATGCGCCTGAGGAGGGAACTAAGCGTGTTCCAGATGCGCCTGATGAAGAGGAGATGCCCGGTGAGTTTGCATTGGTGGCCGCGGATGAATTTGCCATTCCGTTCCAGAGATTCTCGAGCTTCAGTCGCCTGGTGAGGACCACAGCATGGGTCTTGAGGTTTGCGCGTTGGTGTCGCAAACAGAGAAGCGAGATCGAGGAGTACGGACTCACTGCATCGGAGTGTGAGGCCGCGGAGAACCTGTTAGTCAGACAGGCCCAGTTGGAGTCGTTCCCCGACGAGATGAGGTCGGCGGAATGCGGAAAGGACGTCGCCAGCTCGAGTGAGATTCGAGGTCTGGCGCCTTACGTGGATGAACACGGAATTCTGCGAGTTTATGGCAGAGTTGATGCCGCGCTGTGCATGCCGTACAGTGCGAGGAGGCCCGTAATACTGTCACACAGGCACAGTCTTACGGATTTGATTGTGAGGCACTCTCATGCCCAGATGAAGCATCAAAACGTGGATGCGACGATTGCTCAGATTCGGACGAGATTCTGGGTCACGAAGATGAGACGAGTGCTGAAGGAAGTAATCTCGTCGTGCAACGAGTGCAAGTTGCAGCGAACGCGGCCGATGCCGCCGATAATGGGACCCCTACCAGAGGATCGACTGGAAGCGGGAGGATGGCCATTCAAGTACATCCGCCAGGGCGATATGGTCTTCGTCTGCGATCCTGCCTTGCCCAGACGAGGGTGGCGCAAGGGAATCGTGGAGGAGGTCTACAGCGGAGCTGATGGAGTCGTCAGACGCGCTACTGTGCGCGTGAACGACAATGGCCTATCTCGGACAATGTTGCGGCCCGTCTCAAAACTTGCAGTTTTGGATTTGAGTGAAGCGGTTCTTCACGGGGTCGGGGATGTCGACGGTCGAACATTGTAATCGATAGGTAGACTAAGTATTGAAAGAGAAATCTAGTATTTGTTAATTTATCCGATCTCGTATGGATTTCTTGGCCCTTGAAGTGCGGGCCTACTAATATCGGTTTAATGGATGCCGCCATAAATTGTGCTTTTCATTGTCTTGTGAATCGTAGGAGGGCACACTGCGGTAAGATTAAGTTAGTTTGAAATGTATGAGGCTGATCTGAATTGTTAACAGAATAAAACGATCGCCCCGAGCGACTGCCACGAGCGCCACCAGGCGCACGCCGCCCTTAAAGTTCACCCTCTCTTCGGACCTACGCGTGTGGGGTAGTCGTTAACAAGGCAACACCATATGATGCAAGACAATGTTATTTAAGATATCTTAACGCAATTTAGTGTAACCATACTAATACGCTGTATATGTATATGAATACCCTTTATATAATATTATCGATGAGTTCATCGAAAATTTTCCTAGTCAACGCATGGTTCAATTGCTTCAATGTTATTTTAGATATCTCAACGCAATTTAGCGTAACCATACTACTACGCAGTATATGTATATGAACACCCTTTATATAATATTATCGATTAGTTCAACGATAATTTTCCTAGTCGACGCATGGTTCAATTGCTTCCAGAAAAGCACATTTTTTCTACAAACATGGCATGCGGAGGGAAAAACTATGTAAGTTATTTATAATTCCTACAGTTATCCTTCACTGATTTCCCTATTTTTAGCGTTGGGTACGGGAATTCACAGTTCCGCAGCGTGTATCTGTTGTGCGTGGAGGTAGCTGAGGTTATAACGGCGGTGGTAATGGCTTTCGCGGCTACTGAGGTAGGAACTGCGACTGTCAGTGCCACAGGGAACTAAAGCAATGCTGCTGGAGTGCTGTGGCACCTCCGAAGTCTGTGACTAACCTAATTGCGCCACCTCAGGAAAGAAGCTATAATTACCATGTGCTTGTAGTAGCTAACAAAAATGCCCAAGTGCCGAAAAATTTCACTTCGGGCACCATGGTGACGCCCAAAACATGTGCTCTTGCTCAGGGTAGCGTATATCAGTTGCTCGGCCATAACGCGAACCCTGGTGTCATGTACACCATCGGACAGGGTCATACGCTAATAAACCCATCGCTGCCAGCACAATTGTTAGTTCTGGAAACCATGCAGGTAACTTCATCCAGGGTAACAATACTGGCGTGTACGCACAACACAACAATCCCGGCGTTTATGCACAGGGCAACATGACCATGGGCCACGGCAACGCGGAAGGCCAAAATCAGTTGGCAAACTTAAACCAGGGAATCAATTAACGTGTTTTCACACACAGCAACACCATCGGATCCGGACACATTACCGGACAATCGGGTTCAGTGATCCTGGCAAGCCCAGGCAACTGTTGCATCCCAACCAGCAACCCGGAGGGCCAACTGATCAACCAGGGCAACACCAACGAGCCGGGAAATACCCTTGTATGCGCAAGCCCGGGCAACATGGGTAACTGCAACTCCCGGGTATATCACTGGTACACAGCCTTCCATGAATTCGGGCCACGTCTCCATACCGGAACACAGATCAAATAACATAGTTAGAACTAACCCTGTTAACCATGTCATGCCTGCAAGCATGAACCAAGGCAATGCCTCCTGCCGTACTAACCAGGGAAACCAGTTCGGTCAGGAATACACCGCAGCACCTGGACACGGCAATGGAGCAAACATCCTGGTAAATGCGAACACGGGCAACAACAAAAATCCAAGCAACCTATTGGATTCCATACCGGGCTGTTCCAAGGCCTTAAATAGCCAGGGAGTACCAGCAATCAAAGAACAGAAGAAAGATAGCTCAAACTCTTCGGATGAGGAGGAATTTATTCCCTTGGCACAGCCTATATTTTAGCACTTTCATTTTCTTACTCACCCTTCACAACTCATAAACCATTATAAGACAGAAATGAAGAAAAATTCAACATACTTACCAACTTACGTTTATAATCTTACCCCCCCCCCCCCCCAAGTACATTGTATGACTTAAATAAAATATAAAATAAAAACGAAAAACTACTAACTAACTCTGTTTTCAAGTTAAGAAAAATTCAAATTTTTTTTACTGTCTTCATGCGATAGATCTTTGTTGTAGTTGTATGTGTAAAGTCAATAGAAATTGCGCTGCTCGATTTCTTTGTCCCCCCTGGTTAACTCTTCTCATGCCGATTCCATCATTTCAAAAACACAACTTCAGAATTTTAAATCTGATAATGACGCTTATATTAGTTTATTGAATTTCATAAATTTTACAGTTACCATAAATGTTTAATTATATTCTTCTTTTATGCCAATTAAAATTAATAGGAATATGCAATAAGCAAAAGTGTATTTTTGTTTTAGTTTCCGTCTGTGTAGGTATTTTACTTTCGATAATCTTATCGTTAAAAGTGTCTTTTTGATTGTTAATCTGGTCACATTGCATACAAATGTGACAGTTTCATTACTACAAAAACAAAGCGATTTGACAAAATAAAAACCATTGATTTCCATTGCTGATACCTTTTTTAATAAAAAAAAAAGTAAGTGGCCAATATGCACATTCTCTGAAAGTATTTGAGTATGTGTTCTTACTCATCGTCACTTTGGACTTCGACTCCAAATGCACCTGTTCAGTTTAGTGTTTTATATAAAATCAATTAAAGTTGGGAAATCCTGCAGATCGCCAACTGATTACAAAACAATTGAATCAAACTTGATGTGTTCAATTTGCAATACCTATCGTTTGTGCTTATACTTCTTATTTGTTCCCAACAAAATTTGTTCATGCATACATATGTACATTTATACAAACATATATTAAGCACTTTAAACTTTAGGATAGTTTTCTTTATCTCATATTCCTATATTTGGACACGTTCGACTGATTGATTGCATCATTTAAAGCAGTGGTCGGCACACACATACCATCACAAGTTTGCCTTGCATTAGTGTGAGTGTAACAAACACGAAGTTTGCGCGCGGCGTGCTGAAGCGAGACGCTTCTCTGCCTTGCACTGAGATCCTCTGCCGCAGCAATAAAAAAGCGCACCAAAGTTGAGAAAAAAATGACCCGAAGACCCATGCCGAAGTCACACGAACATGTACGTTATACGTGAGCGAGCAGAGGATGGGCAGAACACTTCCCTATGCTCACTAGATAGGCCGCTGCCGACCACTGATTTAAAGTACAGTTCCCTACATTTAATTGTTTAACTTAATTTACTAAAACTAAAAACACAAATATCTTTCGCGAGTTTTTATATATTTGCACGCTTGGTATGCCAACAAAAAAGCAGTATATATTACCGACTATCGGGTAAATCTTGTTTGTTAATGTTTTATTGGTAAAACGAAACATAGTTCTAGGGACAAGTCAAGTACATTAAAAAAAATGTGAGTTGATGTGCAGGGTACGTGTAATCTCCGGTTTTATGATAATAAATTTCTCTTTTTTTTCGTTTCAGAATTTGGCTTTTTATGTATTTTTTAACTTTACATAAATAAAAATTACTAATTCAACAGTATTCTAGTGACGCACCTAAAGTGCGACAAACAGTAGTTAGTAGCAGTACTATTTTTTTTAGTATCTAAAATTGAAACTATTTTTCAGCTATATTTCATAGAAATAAATTAAAAATAGAGAAAAAATGCATAAATATAAAGCAAAACCAATTAAAAAATGAAACACAAAAAAAAATTTAAGCAAAAAACAAATAAAGAGCGCAAAAAAGTTAATATAAATTGCATGAAAACTGAAAAAATTAAAATTAGTTACAACAAGCGCAAATTTATTAATTACAAAAAAAATTGAATAAAAAAGAGAACAAATAAAAAAATAGTATAAAAAAGAAATACCAAAAGCTCACATAAGAAAATTTTATAGCAATTGCAAAAAAGACAGAGCAAAAAATAAAAAAAAAGGGCAAATATAGTAGTCTTGTTAACAAGTTCAAATAAATAGCAAAATAGTTAAAAATATTTATAGATTTTGACAATCGTAAATAAAATCATTATATATTGCATGAAAAAAAATTTTAAATCAATTGTCAATATATAATTAAAAGAACAAAAAAAAAACAACAAATTTTTCTTAAAAAGTAAGGTGTATAAAATCTACAAATAAATAAACTACCGTTAATATTATTCAAAGAGATTTTTTATTTTTGAACTACATAAAAAATGGTTGGTCGTTAAAGAAAACCAATCAACGCTAACTTCAAAAGAAAACTTGATACGGTAAATGAAATGTCTCCTACCAAAAAATTAAAAAGTAATCATTATAAAGCAGTGTATTCAGATATGGTAAGACATATTGAGACATCTATTGGTGTCAGTAAAAGACTTATAAAAAAAAAATAATATATATATTTTACATAAAATACACCAGCTTACAAAAAAAAATTGATGAAATACGCCTTCAAGGAAACCTTTGTTTTCCGGTAAGGTACATCTCCCTGATTAAGAAAAAGGCACTTAAAATTTAATCTATGGTACCAATTATTTTTTAAGGTTAAAAAATGTTTTTCGCACTTTTTTA